ATTCTTCATGCATCTTTTCATATATTTCCTCTTTGACAGAATTGTCTAGCTTCAAATTTTCTTCCTCTGTTCATCTCATACTTTAATGGACACTCACCCTTCTTACAAGCAGCTGGATCAGCCTCAGAATTATGAACCCCTCTGAAGTAGCACATTTGAAGAAACTTGAAAGGCACTTCTCCCAAGAGGATTGGGTACCTAATGATAATGTTCAAGCAGCAGCTCAGGGAAAGTTTGTCTTCCTGACAAAAAATGGATCAGACAGACTAGAGAGTGGGAAATGAATGTGTATGAGAGTGAGAAATAGCTAGAGGCTATGGGGGGCACTTTGCTATCTTGATAGTAGTATCGTGCTTGTGTGAGTGTGTGTGTACAATGCAAAAAAACATGGCCTCATGGGAACAAGGAGGGCTCCACATCTGAGACATCTTAGTGAGTTTTAACTCCACCTATAAATATGCTGAGGCTTCGGGTCCTTGGACTAGACACAGTCTTCAAACTGTGTCCTATTCTTCTGGGGGAAGAGACCGAACATGGTCTCTAGTTGCTGTGTGTATTTTCCAGCAGCAAACAGAATCACCAGACTACCCACTTAGCTGAGCATTGCCTTTGCCGTTGGAGAGAAGGCTTTCAAGAGCAGCAAAAATGTCCAGCTCTGGTGCATACATAGTACCTGGTTGTACTGCCTCCTCCAGTTTGTCTGGCTCCTGAAATCTGCAGAGATAGGGCTATACATTACGTTTCCCCTGTGAGTCCCGTGCTGGGAACTTAATCACAGGCCCATGTGCACCCAATCTGGACTAGATCAGGATCACTTTGACATCGTCTTGGGGGTAGTGTTATTTGCCTCACTGGTAGCTCTACATGCAGTGATGGGGTACACCTAGTTTCCCCAAAAGAGCAAATAATATGCCCCTAGGGTCATGCGGTGGCTCAAGTGGTTAAGACACTGAACTGCAGGCTACGGAAGGTCGGTAGTTCAGCAGTTCGAGACCCGGGTGCCGCATGACGGAGTGAGCTCCCATCTCTAGTTCCAGCTCCTGCCAACCTAGCAGTTCGAAAGCAAGAAATTGCAAGTAGATAAATAGGTACCACTTCAGTGGGAAGGTAACAGCGTTCTGTGCGCCTTGGTTTTTAGTCATGCCGGCCACATGACCACGGAAACATCTTCGGACAGCGCTGGCTCTTCGGCTTTGAAACGGAGATGAGCACCGCAACCCTAGAGTCGGATTCGACTGGCTTTCGAGCAAGGGAACCTTTACCTTTACCTTTTTAGGGTCATGTAAGTTTGGGAAAATGGCATGGGGGGAGGCTTAAGCCTGCAAGTCATGGTCCATAACACATGGGTAGAGAGGGTTTAAGCACACCCCTCCGAAATGCCATTTTCTCAGAATGAAGCAGCCCCAGGGACTTGTTATTCTCTGTTATGGAGAAACCTAGGGGTTCCCCATCACTGCATATGAGGCCCCTAGTGAGGCGAATTACACCACCTGAAGCTATTTCAGGTTGATCCCAATCCAGTCAGAATTGGGCCCATACATGCCTGGAATTAAGTTTCTTGCATGAAACTCGAAAAACATGTTTGTGTGTGCCCAAGGGAACATGCAATGGAAAAGATAAGGTGTAGTTAGGAACTTGTTAGGGGCACTTATTATCCCGTAAGTGCATCACCATCAGAGTAAAGCCACGTGAGAAATATTTCTAGTGGTATTTCACAGTTTATGAAACTTCTTCCTCTTGGCACTTTACTTGCACAAACTATGCAATATTCCAGAGGCAACTCTAAAAAACTTTTGGGCTTTTTTTCCCTACTGGTAATGAAGGAGGTAGAATTTCATCCTTTTATGTTTTGTTAGCTATGTATTGGTTTTATTGAGACTGGGATGTATTGTGGTTTGGTTTTATATACAGACTAGAAATAATGCCCGTTGCGGAAATAAATACAACGGGATCTAGAAAGAGGCTCTGGGAGAGTGCTCTGGCTTTGGGCAAACAGTGTCAGTTTCCTGTGGCGACCTCAGCAGGGTTTAATGACAGAGTCCATTGTTTTCTCCAGAGGGCAGATATTCTGCTTCTTGTGCACCATCTTGAATCACTGAAGGGACAGTATAAAGATCTACTAGGCAAACAAGAAGTGGTACCCAGCTAGTTAGCAAGTAAAAAAGGTAAAGGTAAAGGTTCCCTTGCTCGAAAGCCAGTCGAGTCCGACTCTAGGGTTGCGGTGCTCATCTCCGTTTCAAAGCCGAAGAGCCAGAGCTGTCCAAAGATTTTTCCGTGGTCATGTGGCCAGCATGACTAAACACCAAGGTGCACGGAACGCTGTTACCTTCCCACGGAAGTGGTACCTATTTATCTACTTGCAATTTCTTGCTTTCGTACAGCACTGGAAATGAATAGCAAATTCTCCTTGCTAAATTGGTGCTGGCTTTTTGCAACTTGACTGGGGCTATGTATATTGAATTAACGGGTGTCCATAATGCCAAGAAATGGTAGATCAGGGACACAGGAAGAGCAGCAAGAGATTCAAATCTGATTCACATATACCTCCAGATCATTCAGTGTTTTACCATTCACATTTTAATAGAATGTCTGAATTGTCTTCACTAAAAAAAGAGATGTGTTTGAAGTTATGAGTGGTGGTGCATGCAGGAATTTTTCCAGGTCTTAAACTTGCTGGATGGCACATCTCTGGACCAACATAAATTTGGGGAATACTGGGGCGCATGTTTGCTTTCTGTTACAATCCAGTGTTGTATTGAGAAAGGGGTTAACTCCACATCCCTACTGTTCAATATTTTCAAACATCCCTTAATGTGAAAACAATGTCTATAAAGTATGATGACCTTTTTTGATGGCTTTTCATTTGTGGAATGCAGATGAAATGGTGTGAAAGCAGAGTTAATAAAAACTTACTCATGAGCTACCAAGTGAAGTGTAAATTGCTTTGTGCTTGCGTTGGAATCTCATATAAGTTATTACTGCCTGGAAAGTTTCATCTTGTTAATTTCCATTCGTCCTAAAAATAACATCGCTCTGCTTTGCCACATACTACAATAAAGGCTTCCTCGGATTTAATCAATATTCAGGAACTGGCATAAAATAATTGTGTTCACATTTTCTTGATCATCTGTTACATATGCAGAGAAAAAAAGGATAGGTGTTACCTTACTAATGGGGGGGAGGTGTTGTTGGCCATTCACTAGTTCATTAATGCCATTTTTGTGTTTAGGTATTGCTATTTTCTCTTAACATTTGAACAAAAGTTAAAGCTTGCAGAAAGCTTCCATCTTAAACGTACTTAAGATGTGAGATCCCACACCTTTGAGAAATCACTCACTGTGGAAAGTTGTCATGATATGATTTTTCAACCACAACAACACTTGGTATGTAGACTGGAGTGACAGCATAATATTCCTTCAGGGCACACTGATCTTCCTTTCCACTGTGCATTGACACCAAAACCAGCAACCCCATGCTGGATTTTCTCTTATCTCCCTGTAACATTAGCAATGGATATGAGTCTTCATGCTCATCATTTTCATGCTCCTACCAGTAGCCAATGATGTAGAAAAAGGTAAAGAAAACACCGCTTTCAGGGCCATCCTGAGGAGAGTTATACTCTCCTAAGCCCATTGACTTCAAAGGAATCAGAAGGATGTAACTGTTTTTAAGATGGCACTGTCTGTCAAGTATCACAGCATATGTTTCTGTTGCTATATGTACAGGAAAGAGGCTGGGAGTAGGGATGTGCAAAAAAAAAATTTCGTCCCGATTCGGTTCGGCTGAATGGGGCCGAATTTGATTCAGCTGGCCGAATGACCCCCAAATGCCACTCTCGACAACTTAAGCCGATTCGGGGCTCATTCAGGGCCAGCCGAAGCAGATTCGGCCAGGGGCACCTGGACAAGCCTTCCCTCCAAGGGGGGGCTTGCCCAGGCTCCCCACAATGAAGGGAGTGTGCCACCTCTGCAGCGTGACTGTAGGTTTAAAGATTAAATCCCCCCCAGTCGTGCCACAAAGGCAGCACACTCCCTTCATTGAAGGGAATGGGAGGGAGTGGGGAGGCATTTAAATGCGCGAGCTGGAGAAGGCTTCCAGAGCCCCCCCCCCCGCCTTTATTAGCTTGCCCACTGAGGCAAGCCAGCTAGGAAAGGCCGGGGAAGGTGCAGTGAGGCTTTTAAATGCCTCCCCATGCTTTCCCTGGGGCTGGGCGGCTGCTTTCGGCGGCAGACAGAATCAGATCAGAGAATCTGATTCGACCCGCGGTTGCCTGAAAGGGGGCCAAATGGCCCTTTTTCAGGGGTGCATTCGGTTCGGATGAACTGAATGCACATCCCTAGCTGGAAGACTCAACATGGGGGTCCTTTCCGCACTTGGATCTCATCCATGGTTTTATCAGAGTTCAACTCGTGACACGATACCTTGCATTTATCCTTGGTTGTTATAACAGCGTCTGTTTATCCTGGGACAAGTGTGGAGCAAAACTGGGGTGACCTCAATGTCATGTGGAAACAAAAAATACCTTGAGATAATTACAGGGGTGAACTCGAGTGTGGTGTAGAATGTAAGTTCGGGGACAGAGTTGAACCAGGATTTAAGGTCTAGCGCGGAATCACCCGGGGTTGCCATTTTTGGCAGCAGCCCCATGTTCATCATTGCATCTTGTTCTGCTTTACCTGCTTTTGCAATCTATTGAACTAGAATTAGTTGCAAACAAATCCTGTCCTGTTACTGTAGTTACAACTATCTTTTGTCCATAGTACCTTTCATTGGAAACAGTTCACATATTCATCAGCAAGTCAGCCAGAAACAATCTGTCAAGGAATGCATGTATAAATCAATCCTCAACCTGACATTTTCCCCACATCCCAAATGTTCAGATAATTGTTGTTGCTTATATCCTTTTCTGTCCACACATCAGTTCAACTGATTCTCTTTATTACATAGTCAACTGACCTCTTCCAGTAATAAAATACAGTCATTGTATGCACAAACCTCATATGGATGTGAGTTTCACCTCTAATATAATTGCCTATTTCCTTTGAAAAATCTGAATATATTCTACCCTTCTAAAGCCGTTAAAATGATTTTATCCTGGTAGCTTATTTTATTTTAAAAGGCATTTTTAAAAAACTGTAATAATATTAAATAACCATTTATAACTCTCATTGTATTGGCTGTGGAAGTTTTTTTAAAAAATTCATTTTGCTTTGTTTTAAGTAGAATGGAAGCTCATTGCTGTAAACTCTCTCAATTGACAGGTTGACAGGACAGAAGTGATTCGGACTTGCATAAATCCCATCTTCTCAAAGCTTTTCACAGTGGACTTTTACTTTGAAGAGGTTCAGCGGCTACGATTTGAAGTGCATGACATCAGCAGCAGTCACAATGGGCTGAAAGATGCAGACTTTCTTGGTGGCATGGAATGCACTCTTGGGCAGGTAAAAATCTCAGCTCTCTTTTCTGCATCCTTTGCTTGGGTAAATCAGGCACTCATGGCAACATCTGAATATGTTTTCTTTCTCTTTTTCTTTATGACATGTGAGTGAGATATGGTCTACTATGTATGAATTAATGACTAAAAGGCTTTGACCTTTTCTGCATGCTTGCCTTACTCCTAATTTTCTTGACAGTTGGTCCACAAGCATTGGAATCAGTTTGGGGATGGCTGTTCATTGCATTTGTCCTCCCTGTGCATTTTTACAGTTGTGGAGTCAGTTTATTTTTTTTTAAGTAAGTCTTTAGCCTGTCCCCTCATGGAGATATGGTTTTTTCCTTGTATCTTGAGGAGAGAAAAAACTAGAGACTTACTTTATTTAAAAAAATAAGAACTGGGAATTCAGAGAACCCACATAAACTATCATTACAACACTACATCAGTATATTGATATTTTAGGGCTGTTTTTAATGTTTTTAAACATCAAAATGCTTAATGTTTTAAAACATCTTCAGGGCAGGGGAGAGGGAGTGGTTTGAGGATGACAATAGACCAGTCATTGAAAAGTGGGCTAGAGATGGGTGGGAATGGATGGAACAAAGAAAACCAACAGAAACATTATGCTTGAGGGAAAAGCCAATTCAAAATTGCCTTCCAGAAAAAGACTGAGGTAAAATTGGTTCCAAAACGACCAGAAAAAAACAGGGAATAACAAAAAAATACCTAAGTGAAAACTATAGACACAAAAATGAGTGCGGAAATTGGAAGATAAAAAGAAACAATATGGGGCTAGAACCAACAGAAAAAAACAATGTGGAAAAGTCCTTGTTCACAGAACTGTCTAGGCCTGTGGTGACCTCAGTTCTAAGTCTAGAAGCACTCAGTCTGGCAAACAGTGTTGTTATATGCAGTCTAAGAACAGAGGTGCCTCGGATGTGTATCATTGTGAACGTTTCCCACCTTCCAGTCTAAACCCAGTCCATACTGAAATAGTTGAGTGTAAAGATAAAAACCTGCCTTCCACCACTTACCTCTCCTATATGGGCTTAGATGCTGCACTCAGCTTAGAGGAATGCTCTCTGAGGTCGTGGCTCATAAAATGGCAATCTTTGACAAAGTAGTGAGGTGCCTTTATGAGCATGGCAGTAATGCTGAAGATCTAGGTTGACTGAAAACAGAAAAAATAATATAGATATCTGGGCTGGGGGATCAGCAAATTCAAGCAGTCAAAATAATACCAAACATCTCTCCTTATATATAATTCTGTTTTGGTCATGGACTCCCCTGAACATTCCAACATGCTTCCAAATCAGTTGGCTCTGTGATCTGTCATTTAGAGGGTTTCCCTATCCACTGGCTGCATTGCCTGAGTCCTGCCTCCAACATTCTAAACAGTTTGCTGTTCCTCCCACCCCATAGCCAGTCAGAACACAGAGGTCATTTGCATATGTGGCCTGATTGGCCTTTGCCTCGGAACACAAAGGTCATTTGCATATGCGGCCTCGTTGGCCTTTGCCTCTAACATTCTAAACAGTTTGCTGTTGCTGTTTTGAGGTAAAATACATTTCCCCTTAGTGGCTATTCGGAGAAACCATTGTTGCCAATTTCCAAGTGAGGGCTGAAGATCACTCAGAATTACAACTGCTTTCCAGATGGCAGAAATCAGTTCCCCTGGAGAAAATGGTGGACCCTGTGTCCTTATATCCTGCTGACATGGCCCCTGTATGACAGCCAATGTGACGTAGCAGTCAGGGCTTCAGAGCACAGTAGAGGCTGCAGGTGGGTGGGTGAAAAGCTGAAGAGTGAGGGGAAAATAAAGGTAGGTTGATGGTTGGCTGGGAATGAGATAGGGTTGCCAACTCCAGCTGGGAAATTCCTGGGATTTGAGGGATGGAGCGTGAGGAGAGTGAGGTTTCAGGAGGAGTGGGACCTCAGACAGGTATATGTCATAGACTCCACCCTCCAAACCAGCCATTCCCTCCTGGGGAACCATTGTTGCCAATCTCCAGGTGAGGGTTGGAGATCACGCAAAATTACAACTGTTCTTCAGGTAGCAGAGATCAGTTCCTCTGGAGAAAATGGTGGACGTGGTGTCATTATACCCTGCTGAGGTCACCACAGCAAATTGACACTGAGTGCTCAAGGCCAGGGCACCCGCCCAGAGCCTCTTTCTAGAGCTCTTTGTATTTATTTCCACAATGGGCCTTTTTCCTAGTTTCATATAAAACCCAACACTAGGAAGACAACTGAATGAGTATGTCACTCTTAAGTACCTGAACATTGAGCGAATTGCTCCAGACATGGGGAATGCAAGAATTAAGAGAGCTGGCTGTAGCTCCTGATCTTTGCACATCAAAGCAGAGGTCCAAACCAAGCCACGGGTCTAAAATGTCAACAGAATCTATGATCCAACCATCTGCCAAATTTTGTTGATTTTGCATGAAGCAAACTTACTTATAAGCAAATTCATTGACAGATCTTGGGTTATTAAAGACATCGTTGAGCCTAGTTTTAAACTTAGTTTGTCCAACTTTGGGATATTTCTGGTTTGTTTGTTTGGTGTGTTTTTTTTTTTTTTGCAAATATGCCATTTCAGTTTGAAAACTGCACTTTCTGACATGGGTTATCACAGCTTGAAGTGAAATTGCAGCTGTCTTTTCCCCAATTATACTAAAATTCATTGTTACCATTAAAATTGGTTCCTGTATTTGAGTATACATGGTATTATATTAAAAACAAAACAAAAAGGAAAAACTACCAAAGAAAATAGATGGACAAAAATGCTCACAATGTATATGTATGAAAATGAAATAGTTGCACAGCCATAGACAAAATGACCTTTAAACCAAGAATTCTAGTTCAGCTGGTTTGTGAAATAAATGTGTGAAGCTCTGCATTGGTACAAAATGCAGGGAAGATTGCCAGTGCTTAGCCCAACCATGGCTTTAAATTGATTCTGCCTCTATAATAACACACAGCTGGGTGATCTGAAGGGCAGTTTTATATGTACCCATAGCCAAGAATAAATTAATAATAACAATGATAATAATGGCAATGGAATGTAGGTACTAAAATGCAACCCTGGGAATCTGTTCATTTAAAACTTTTCTCCAAAAGATAATGGGAATGCAGTGGAATCCCTTATAGCAGGCAGTGTCCATATGTCAATGTTTTTCAAAATTACTGCATTAAATAGAATAGAAGTTTGTCTAATTTCATATATTTGTTATGAATTAACTGCAAGAGTGAAATGAGATGACTGTCTGCAGGTCTAAAATTTTTAGATACAGAATGGATTCCTGACTGTTATTGAACGGTCAGATATCACTGAACAGGTAGGGAAGAATATGCAGAATTCAGTCTGGATTTATTTATAGCCAATCAGATAAGAGAACAGTATAACAAAAGCTGTCTTTTCATACAGACAAAACTGATGTGCTGGAAAGCATGGTAATGCAAAGGCAGGAACATATTACTGTAATTTCTCAGTAATGTGACAGCTTAGTTCAGACATAATATGAAACCATGGTTTAATTAAGCTAACTATGGGGCACTTTCACACATGCTGAATAACACAGTCTACTTCAGTGACTGTTTGGAAGTCGATTTTGCCATTTCACACTGTAAAATTCAGTTGCAAAGTGGATTGAAAGTGCATTATTTAGTGTGTGTGTGAAAGCACCATATGGTTAACCTGATTGTTTGCATGCACCCAGTCCACTAACTATAATCTGATAGGGTCTGTGAAACTATGGTTTGAAGTTGGTTCATTAATTGCAGTTAGTCTGACTATGGTTTTGAATAATGTAGGAGCATAGACATCCTGACTTAATCTTGGTTTAATACAGGTGTAACAGGGCTCTTTTTGTAGAAAAAGCCCAGCAGGGACTCATTAGCATAACAGGCCACACCCAACAGCAGAAACTCATTAGGATTGGCTACATTAGGGGTGTGTGCAGGTCTCTTTTTGTAGAAAAAGCCCAGCAGGGACTCATTAGCATAACAGGCCACACCCAACAGCAGAAACTCATTAGGATTGGCTACATTAGGGGTGTGTGCAGGTCTCTTTTTGTAGAAAAAGCCCAGCAGGGACTCATTAGCATAACAGGCCACACCCAACAGCAGAAACTCATTAGCATATCAGGCCACACCCCGATAGCACAGCTCATTAGCACATTAAGCCGCACCCCCATGTTACCAGAAGAGTGGTCATCCAGCCACACCCACCTTTTGCTTCTTATTCTGCTTACCTTGTTTGTTGTCAACCCAGGGCTTTTTTTGTAGCAGGAACTCCTTTGCATGTTAGGCCACACATCCCTAATGCAGCCAATCCTAATGAGTTTCTGCTGTTGGGTGGGGTCTATTATGCTAATGAGGTTCCTGCTGGGCGTGACGAACTTGGGAGCCAGCCGGAACTCCATTCCTGTGCGTTCCTGCCCAAAAATAGCTTTGGGTGTGCAAAATTGGGGGGAATGCTACTGTGAGCATCATGTTTCCTGTTATTTACAATATGATTCCAGCAATTCAGGGATCACATCATGAATGTGATGGCTTCATGTGACTGATAAGGGCAGATTAAAACAATCATTTGATCTTGATGCAAATGGGTCGAGGAAGGGTTTGCATCAGCTTGTTGATAAAGCAACCAGGCCAACACCTTCCCTGCTTCTCTTCAGTGAGAATGAGGGCCCTGACCTGACTTTCTTTGCTGCTACTGACAGCATTCTGTAACCAGATTTGAGTGGCCTTGTGGCACTGTGATAGCATCACAATTATGACATGATCCCTGCTTGGCTGCATTCATAAATAGTGCATGTACCCAAATGGCAGCAGTAACAGCATTAAGGAGGGAACTAATTGGCTAGAAACAAGTACCACCACAAGCATCATCCCAAAAGTATATTTGGAGATTCTATTAGTGGAATACAATGTTTTATTTTTGTCACTAGCCAGGCCAGGAATGGCACAGGGCACACTGTCAGAGCACAGAGTGAGTAAGATAAG